CTTAATGTTTTACGCCTCTTCTGGTCCTGGAGATTATTGGCAGTAACAATAAACGTGGTTCAAAAACCCTGCTACAATGGATTCATGCATACCAAACATGTCAATCGCAAAACCAAATTGTGTCTTTTCCGAGCCAGATTGGTGACCTTTTTCTGTGACTTTTTTTTATTTATTTAGGACCACGACATATGACATACCATACAAGTAGATATATTAATATATTTTCTGTTTATACGTTATTTTTATAGATATAAATATTTAAGTAAACTTTACCTCGTACATTTTAAAACTTGACACAGAAAACTCGTACATGACATTCACAAAACAAGATGCTATATTCAAATACATTGGTTTAAAAAAACTTGCAACTACTTTACAACTGCAGTAGCAACAATTAAGAGCATTTTGCGAGCATCCAATCTGAAATTTATAGCGTCATATCTATGCAACATGAAATGGACCAAGTCCGACAATTATTTTAATATATTTTCTGCTTATACGTTATTTTTATAGATATAAATATTTAAATAAATTTTATAATAAACAATATCAACAACATTTAGCGGTCTGAATGTCCGAGAAATTTCATAGAAAATATGTGTTCTCCGACAGGAATCGAACCTGTACCCTACACGGAACCGTCATATCATCTGACGTGCTATACCACTCAGCTACAGAGGAAGAGTGTGGTTAGCAAGATTAAATTATTGTTTTTAAACTACAAATTTGTCATGATTTCTGTCGGAGGCAGATATCTGCTCGAAACTATCTTAACGTAAACAAATGACACTGTATATTATGAAATGGAGTAAGTCCAACACTTATTTCAATATATTTTCTGTTTAAGCGTTATTTTTATAGCTTCCTCTGTAGCTAACTGATATAGCACGTCAGGCTATATGACGGTTCCGTGTACGATAGAGAATATAGCGTAAATAATCATAATACCTCATCTCAGAGATATAGTCAGATAAAGTAGCTGTAAGTTTTATTAAACCAATGTATGTGAATATACCGTCTTGTTTTGTGAATGTCATGTACGGGTTTTCGGTGTCAAGGTTTAAAATATACGAGGTAAAGTAATGAAAAATATTCAATGAAAATTATTCATCAAAGAAATTCTGATATCTTTATTTTTTATTGAATAATAAAAAGCTGGACAATGTCCTCTTGATGAAGGAAATACGGAAGCTAAATGTCGTTATACAAACGGAATGGTGAGAATTCCATGACCGAAGAACGTAAATGTCTTTAGACAAATGGAAACAAAAACAACACTTCAGTATCTGTCTATATTTCTGAGATGAGGTATTATGTACACTATTTACATGATTCCGACTATTGTCCTCATCTTTGCCGTCATATTTATTACAACGTTTCAACCTTTCAGTATCTGTCTATATTTCTGAGATGAGGTATTATGTACACTATTTACATGATTCCGACTATTGTCCTCATCTTTGCCGTCATATTTATTACAACGTTTCAACCTTTCAGTATCTGTCTATATTTCTGAGATGAGGTATTATGTACACTATTTACATTATTCGGACTATTGTCCTCATCTTTGCCGTCATATTTATTACAACGTTTCAGCCCTTCAGTGTCTATATTTCGGAGATGAGGTATTATGTTCATTATGTTCATTTTTTATATTATTCGGACTATTGTCCTCATCTTTGTCACCATATTTATTACAACGCTTCGGCCGTTGTACCCTCCGGCCTTCTTCAGGTGGTTGGAATGTCGAACTTAACCCTTTATTTCGCTCACTGGGGTAGACTGTTTTAGTTTACGAGCCATGTTTAATGGATGTCAGTTATCAGTTATCTCGGCCGAAACGTTGTAATCAATATGGCGACAAAGATGAGGACAATAGTCCGAATAATATATAAAGAACACTTATATTCAGAATCAGAAAGAGACAGCTGAAATTTCAGGGATATATAATGAGGATCTTGGCACTCACTTTGGGATATCGAAGGGCAAAAGGATCTGGAGGAGGCAGCTGGAAACCTACATCACCAGCTTGTTGGAATGGATGATGGCTCTTGGGACGGGTGGAAGAAAGATAAACGGTGACAAGAGCTACAATTGAGAGGATGTTGTGGAGAACAATAATCGCCAAATGTCATGAACAGATATGGCATACCCAAAGATACAGCATGATTAAATAAGTGAACTAAATTCCTTAACTGGATTTATTGTCAAGGGGCATAAATAATTATAACAAGATACACAGAGGACACAATGTCGTGGACACATTCAGAAAATTACACGAACTCCTAGATGAGGTTGTAAAAGAAAAAGAAAAGATTGATCTATTAACACTAATGCGGACTATATAATCATCACCAAGAGCAAGAGTCCAAGTTATAAGCTACGAACTGAATAAAGTAGGTGTTGAAATTTAACAATCTGGCTCGTGTAGTAATAGACGGCGGGGAATGTGGCACAGATCTCCGAACGCACATTGGACTATAGAAAAATGCCTTCCAGAAACTAAACAATGTATTAAGATACGAAAATTTCATTAAAGACAAAGAAATGAGTCGTGAATTTCTATATCATATCATATCATATATAAATCGGTATTCAACAGCATGTTCGAATTCCTCTATATGGATGTTTGCAGCAATTAAATTGTATTTAAGTTTACCCTTGAAACGTAACCAAGGACGGCCTACATTATGCTTACCATGAAAAAGTTGGCTATACATGAGGAATTTCAGCATCCGATGATCACTCATTCTGATGACATGACCAACCGATCTGAACTGTGATTGAATCAGAAAGGATTCAATACCATTGACACCACATTTGATGAAAAGATCAGGGTTAGAGATTTTGTCCTGCCGTGTATAACCGCATATTGAACGAAGGCAGTGTTTATGAAAAGCATCAAGTTGATTGATGAGTGTCCTGTATGGTGTCCACAATTCTGACCCATAAAGAAATGTGGTGAGAATGACTGCTCGATAGACACAGATTTTCGTTTTCAGGGAAAACCCATGAACATCCCATAGGCGATGCTTAAGCTTCCCAAAGACATACTTCAGGTTGTTGCTGCCAAAAGTAAGGGGAACGATTGGAAAGTTATGTACTGGTGGTTTTGTTTTACACCTTGACCTGCTTTTAGAATATATATATATATATATATATATATATATATATATATATATATATATATATATATATATATATATATATATAACTAATAATCTTATAAATATAAGCAGCTATACTCGTCCGGCAAAATCTTAGGTGTTTTAGCTCGTAAATGAACGAACCAATGCCAAAAGGAAAAAAGGGTAAAAAAGAAAGAAAGAACAAAGAACGTGTACTTCCGGAAAAAATAATCGTCTAGAATCTAAGTTCAGAGTCCAAAGAAAAAACCTCCGACACGAGCAAAATAAAATAACTAAGCAAAGTGCTCAATAATATGTATATATATATATATATATATATATATATATATATATATATATACGCATACATACCTATAGAAAAAATGTATATATATATATATATATATATATATATATATATATATATATATATATGTAAAAAAATAAAAATAAAAAAATAAAATCGATTCACCCGTCGGGTTCGACGTATGAGGGTCAAGCAGAGCAGTTTCAAGGAAACTGACAGCCGGACACCGGCACATAAGATTCGATTATAGTGGTGAAGGCCTCGTGCAGGACCATCCACACTTTTTGAAGGGGCGAATACAGAGACCTGATGCACTACCTGCCACAAGGTCCCCAAACAACACCCCTCAGGTTTTGAATTCAGAGTTGTCCTTCTCCTAGACCAGTTTCCATCTGAGGCTATAGAACCCAGTCTGTCCTGCTATTTAACCCATAGCTGAAGGGAGAAGAAGAGAATTCACATCTTTCCCAAGGGTATTAGCACGTAAGTGAATGTAATGGGTTCAACCTGGTTCGAATATATATATATATATATATATATATATATATATATATATATATATATATATATATATATATATATATATATATTTATATTCATGTATGTATATATATACATACATATATATATATATATATATATATATATATATATATATACATCCATACATACATCCATACATACATGCATGCATATATATATATATATATATATATATATATATATATATATATATATATATGAATGATAACAAAGACGGGCGCTTAGTGTCACAAGGGAAAGGAAGTTATTGAGGGCCATGATTGCCAATGTCTTGGTGAAGAGAATATATCATGAATTTACATTAATATCTATCCTAAAAAATGAGTAATAAATTCCTTGTGATGTTCTGATCACATTTTTCTAATCTTGTAATTCAGCCAATAAGAGTGATGCCTCCTATGAAAGATAATTCTAGAATTAGATGTCAGAGATTCATGCACGTGGAGCTCCTTGATAAGATCCAAAGAAGAATCTGCAATATTATTGGTCTTCATCTAGTGGATCGGCTCCAGTCACTTGCACGATACCGTAAGGTTGCCTCTCTGTACTTTTTTTTCATAAATACTTTCATGGTAATAGTTCAGGTGATCCTCTCGCTATGGTATCTCGACTATATGAATTTAAGCGCAATATTCGACTGGAGGCCAGATCCCATCAATTTACATTTGAGCTAGCTAGATGTAGCCGTAACTTCTCTGCTGACAGTTTATTTTCTCGCACTTTTCGTTTGTGGAACTCCTTTCCAGTTAACTTAAATGCAATGTCAATCGCTCTCTACTCTCTTTTCTCTTTCCACTCATTACTAATATTTCTGTTCTTAATTCTTCCACACCCTGTAACCCATTGCGTTCCACTGACTGTACTGCCTTGCTCGGGGTCATAGCGATTAAAAAAAAGCAGTGAATATTTTGCGGGTTAAAAATATCTGATTACATGCGCAGAGGAAGTAGAAAGCTACTATTTAGTATTGTTTCTTTGTTCGCATTTTGATTTGCTGAGCAGAGAGGTAGAATTTATGACACATGATTTTTGAGAATAAGAAATTCAGTTTGTCTTTCATTATTTCATCAACAGATTTTCACTCGTTTATCTATCTTCAAGTGCAATTCCTTTTCCCTCAGAATTCTTTGCAATGATCTTTTGAAGACGACTCCATCAATAGTGAATAATTAAATAGTATTATTATTATCATCTTACTATAACTGTGTATTTCTCTCCTTTCGTCATCCCCGGTATGACGATAAACTACATCCGCGTCCTGGGTAAGATTATAAACTATATCCGACAACAAGGCCTTTGATCAGAAGGTTTTTGAAGAGAGTAGAACCACCTCTTAATTGCTGGTGTTCTTGGGTCCTCTCCTGACCCGGGATGGTAGCACCTACCAGGATCCCAGCTATGGGCAAATAGTGTTTTCTCCCATTTTGGTGGGCAAATATTTAACCCACCAAAAGAGGACAAAACATTATGAAACTATAAAAATAGGTTTTAATACCAGCAATACTTTTTTGGAAAAAAAATTTACCAGCAATACATTTTTGAAAAAAAATATTACCAATATATTTTTGAAAAAAATATATTACCAGCAAAAAAAAAAATCTTGTCGGCATTAAACAACTCATTTAGAATAATATGCCGTAAAACAAAACAAAACAAACCAATCTCTTTTCGTTAGTTTGCACGACCTTTACGCCCTGCCAATGCATCATTAATATTAGAATATTCCATTTTCCAGTTGCAGTGAATCATATTGCCAAAGTACATGCCAAAGTACATGTATAAAACGACATCAACTTGACGCTGGCTTTTGTTTTGACGCCGATTTTTGAAGTGTTCTGGATTGAAACCTTTCATCGTTCAGTATGCGAGTCCGAGTTTGTTGAATGTTGCCATATTATATTCTATGAATTTTTGCAAGTAGTAAGATTCGGACTGTGATTAAAAAAAAACAAAAAAACAAAAGATTCCCAACTTTTATTTGAATTGTGCTGCAGCTATTCGGCCGGTTAAAAATGGTTTGTCAGATTTCGTCCGGGGGATTTTAACCTAAACGATCAACCCTTCTCCGGACGATCTTTCAATGTCTATGAAGACGCTTTACTTACCATCGTGGAGAATAAATCGAAGATTTCGACGGTAGTGTTTGCTAATAGTTTGAAAATCGATACCTCAGCAGTTTCGCCATTTGAAGAGACATGAGTTCTCGATACGGAGTTGCCATATTCTCTTAGGGAACAGAATAAACTCAATTGTCTTTCTGCTGCAATTTCTTTGCTGTGATGCCACAAAAAGGAGTCATTCTTAGACAACAATTGTTATTGGTGATAAAAAATGGATCGTTTATGATATCGTTCGACTCAATCGGAGATGGAAACAAGTTTGTCAATGTGCAGAACTAGTGGTTATACCTGATTTGCATCTAATGAAATTGTTGGTATAACTGAAGTTGTCCGTTTGATAAGATTACAAGACGATAATTTACTTTGGGCTTCTTCTCGTCGGTGAAACAATAACTGGAAAGAAGTATTGGAATCAACTTAACAATCTTAATGGCGCTATTCAAGAAAAACAGACGATTTTGGTAAGTCCAAAAAGTTTCCATTTTCCTCCACGACAACGCACGACTGCATATTGCAAAATCAATTTAAATGACAAAACATTGACTGTGTTCTGCCAGTCGAAATCTTCCCCCAATCTCCTTGCACCAAAAAACACGAAATTTCTAAGAAGACATCAACAAGCTTGTAGAACGATGGGAGACAGTTGCTAAAAACAATGCAGTGTATACTTGATTTGATGTTATATGGACGACAGATCCTTTGTATTTTCTCCAATTATCCTTTCACAAAGGGTAGGCCAACCATATGGGTGATATACATAGTTAACACCTTCACACTCTGGACACACCAGGGGGGCGTCCAGCGGCTACTGGACCATGTGAAGTCAATAAGATCATCGATACAGTTCACAATGGCGAGTGAAAACCACAACAAACACGCCTTCCTAGATGTCCTCATTTCTCAAACAGAGCAGGGGTTCAAGACATCGGTATACTGCAAGCCAGCATTCACCAGACAATACGTCAATTTCGACTCCCACTATCCAAACAGTGTAAAGAATTGGATCGTCCACTTCATACAACATCGAGCAAAACTCATAAGTGTCGACCTAGAAACATACCAACAAGAAATGGTCATTAAAAGTAGTACACTACAACGTAACAAATACCCTGGGTACATTGTAGCAGTTCCAACAAACTGGGATAGAAGGGTACAAGAGGATAGCAGCACTCAGAAAAAAGTCTGCCTACTCTATGTAAAGGGATTATTGGAGAAAAATACAAATGATCTGTGGTCTATATAACATCAAGACAATCTTCAAAAGTAGTTCAACATTTCGCAAACAACTCTTCCGATTAAGACCCCCAGTAGAGGAGAACATGACTAAGTACTGTGTGTACGTCATCCTGTGCATCCGTGGTAGGAAATACAAAGTAAAAACAGATCGCCCCCTTAGGGTAAGACTGCAAGAACATCGTAAAGCGGTAACACGAGGGGAAATAGAAAAATTAGAGGCGTAGCTAACCACATATGGAAGGAAAAGGGGTAATCATCGTCCCCTGTTGAAATAATAGAGAGAGAGAGAGAGAGCATCACCGGAAAATATGAAAACTTAAGGGACCAGCACATATGCCCGGCCACAAAAATCTCCTGAGCTGACCAGACATAGAAATGAATACAATATGGGAACAGGTAATAAGAAGTCCTAGAGAAAAGTAATAAATAACAACAAAAAATTGCAAGCTCTGATAAAAAAATGTAATAATCATAATAACAAAAATTGCAACATGAGCACTGGTAAAAAATGTATGCAGACATGAGGCTTATAAAATTTATACACAGAAGCTTCAAGGCCACATGGCCCAGCGGAAAAAAGATGTTGGTTACATCTAGTGAACTAGACACTAGTTGTGAGTTCAATTCTAGATCACAGCAGTGGTAAACAAATCTTGTTGAGTTAAAGGCAAATCCGGAAGAGGCATGGCACGTGGAAATAGAAGAATCTAACGAAATTTCGGTTCCAATCCAAGAAATTCCAATCACCTGAAGAAGACCGGGGCGTACAATATAACGATGAGAATAACAGTGCGAATAATCTAAGCTTTTTCGTGAAAACTTAAGCATCTACTGTAACAATTCGTATTGAAAGGAACCCAGACAAATACTAATAATGATTGAATATATATATATATATATATATATATATATATATATATATATATATATATATATATATATATATATATATCAACAATCCTTCTGCACTTATCGTAAACTTTTTATTTATTTATTCGCAAAAGATTGCGTCAAACTTCTCTACTGATCATATTTGTCTCGCAGCTACTTCTGGCTTTTCACAAAGCGAAAAATTTTATTGCAACTTTAGATTTCAAGTTTATGGTTAAAAATAATACGAATGCTACAAGCCTGCTGATGGTGATCCCGGTACGGTTTTGAAAAGTGGAAGAAATGTCGGGAAAATTTATGAGTACTTTGAAGAGGACTGATATAACACGAGTTAAGAAACTATATCATTTATATAAAACAGCTGAATAATTTCCGGATAGTCTTTGTTGTAGGACTTGTGTCGGGAAATAGAATAAAAGACTTCGACATTTCAAAGCCTAAATTTTCAGGTTAACAGACCAGAGATTTGCAACCGGCAACGGCGATCAATTGCGTCACGTGCGCACTTGGCCATATTGATGAAGCTAACACTCGGGATTTACATCTTGAGATGTGGCACGGTTGCATCTCAGCATAAAGCCGCCTGCTAAGTAAACCTCACACCGGTGAATCTAATCTGACTTTTATAAGACGTCTGTTTGGGAAAAGGCGATTTCGAATAAAATAAAATGACAACCTACATACACACACACACACACACACACACACACACACACACACACACACACACACACACAAACATCTATATATATATATATATATATGGATAAGTAGAAAACAATATATATATGAGTAAGTAGGAAAAAAATTCCGCTCTTAAATGCATATCAGCAAATATGCAACAACATGCACGCACCTAGATGTGATGTGCTAAAACTTCTATGTCCAACCAAGAAGAGATTAAAACAACAAAAAAAATTAAATAGATTTTTCGAATTGAGAACCTTCAGGGAAAATCCTCATAATTTCACGCATATTATTAAAGCTTCATACTTCAGTGACACACACACACATATATATATATATATATATATATAAAGACAGAGAGAAAGAGATATTGTGTATTTAGGCAGCAATACTTCATTTATACATGTTTCATTAAAGATGACAAACTAAGTATTACGATTAAGCTTTTTATTTAACTTTTCTTGTGTTCGAACAAGTGTTTTCTTTTGTGGAGTCTGTAAAGACTGTCCAAATATTCTGCAATTCCGAGCGATTTCTGCTATACTTTTAGTCATTACCAAGGTTGATTTTAATTATGCTTTTTAATTAGGTGTATAGGTTGTGTGTATGTTTCTAGACTCATAGGGATGTTTCATTTGCCGAACACAACACATTGTGATCGTGTTCGTACTTAATATTATTGAGTGTTGGCTTTTCTCTTTTTTATTATTACGGTATCAATTATTTTTTAAATTTTTTTTACATTAAACACACACAAAAACTTATCAGAGTTCATCCGAAACATACAAGTAGAAAATACAAACATAATAACCCCATCCAAATGTAAAAAAAAGATTAAATGTTACGATTGTTCCACTGTAGCTAATTGAAAACTAGTATTTTTTTTTTTTTTTTTGCTTAAGTGCCAGAATTGGCTATTGTTTTCCTTCTTTTTTGTGAGTCAACTTTTATTCAGTCCATTTCGCACAAGGTGCTTATAGAAAGACACGTGATCGATGAAGCATTTATCAGAATCATACTTGGCCTGATTTTCCAAGTGATCTATCTCAGTCTGTTCATATATATATATATATATATATATATATATATATATATATATATATATATATATAATACTAATAATCTTATAAATATAAGCAGCTATACTCGTCCGGCAAAACCTTAGGTGTTTTAGCTCGTAAATGAACAAACCAATACCCAAGAGAAAAAAAAGGATAAAAAAAAGAAAGAACTAAGAACATGTACTTCCGGCGAAAATAATCGTCTAGAATCAAAGTTCAGAGTCCAAAGAAAAAAACCTCCGACATGAGTAAAGTAAAAATAACAAAGTGCTCAATACGCTAAGTAGAGCAAACTAAGTTAACCTAAAGAGCCAGACAAACCTACCTAGGGTTTCACCTACTGGCCAGTTTACGCTGGCGATCCACGTAGGGGAAACCTAGGTAGGTTTGTTTGGCTCTTTAGGTTTATATATATATTTAGGTTCATATCTATCTATTTCATTTGGTTCATATCTATGTATCTATCTCAGTATGTGCATATCTATCTATCTATCTATCTCAGTCGTTTCATATCTATCTATCTATCTATCTATCTCAGAGTGACTCTGTGACTCATTTTCTTTCCACTTTTCTCTCTCTTTCTATCTCTCTCTCTCTCTGTCTCTTCCGTTTCCATATTGACGAGAGAAAATGTTCACGTTGATAAAATGGGATCATATCACACATAAACACATACACACACACACACATATATATATATGTATATTGGATATATGTGCGTGTGCATGTGTGTGTGTGTGTGTGTGTGTGTGTGTGTGTGTGTGTGCTGGTAGGAATAAACTAGCCCCTCTGTATGCGTGCACGTGGGCAACTTAAGAAGCCGAACGTCAGACGTGAATAAAGCAGAGGATTAAAGACGAAGGCTGGCGTCGACTACTTTAGTGCTGATCTCTTGCCAAAGTAAGATGGCAGTGTTGGCTGCTTTCCACATCGCTTTTGAAGAAATCACCCTTCGGATCGATTCTAGTGTGTTTCTTTTGTGCAGATTGAAGACTGGGTCAAAGACGATAGAGTGTGTGTGTGTGTGTGTGAGAGAGAGAGAGAGAGAGAGAGAGAGAGAGAGAGAGAAATAGAGATATTTTATTATGCAAGTTATTTTTCAAAATTATGTTATGCTAGCAAAATCTGGAACATATACTAAGATTTATATGAAAAATATATGAGTTGCACTTGTAAAAAAATTTGGAGAGTAATCTGTTTTTTTTTTTGTTTTTAGTTTTTTTTTTAATTATTGGGTTGGCCAAAAAGATCATTCAGTTTGTAATTACATTTTTAATTAATACGCGAATGAACATTTTGTTGACCCTAATACTTTGCAAAAAAAAACAAATAAAACCTGACTACTCTGCAAACTTCCTTTCACGAAAACCAAAAAGCAAAATGTATTAACAAAAAAGAAAGATTTTATATACATAATTTCTAGGATTAAATGTAAAACATATGATCCACAAATATTTGAAAATATATGGAGTATTGCTGCCATATATGGTTTGGGGCCCAGATAAGATCCAGAGACGGATATGCAATGTAATTGACCCTGATCTGGCATCTCGTCTTAAGTCGCTCTCTCACAAACGTGTCGTTGCCTCTCTGCTTTAATATTGTTTCTATATTTCAATAGAGCAAAAGCAAAGAGCAAAAATGATCTTCAGAAAGCAATAAGAATGCCATATGAAATGTTTGAGTCGGAACAAGGTCATAATACTCAATGGGTCATAGAATGGAGAATGCAATAGAAATAATCATTTGAAATGATACAATAATATTTTATTCAGATAGGAGTGATTATTGTTTCTATATTTCAATATATACAGGGGCGGGAAGTAGGTATACAATAATGAAAATCAAAACATGCACACAAAACGTATTGTATTGACGATGGAAACATATCGATAATAACCAAATCAATAATGAACACATCAATCTCTTTAACGTTAAAACTGTTTTCCCCCGTCATTCACACCCACTTCTTTACCTGCAAAACATTTATTATTATTATTATTATTATTATTTATTGAAAAATAAATATTATAATAAAATTATGAAAATATATATATTAAAAATGATTTTAATTAATTAAATGAATTCTAGTATTAACAGAATGGTAAAGCCACTTACTGTATACCTACATTTGCATCTCACTGTATAGGCAGCAAACTCACTTTTAGGCATGTCTGATTGAATAAATTACAAACATTATGTCTGCTTATTTTTATCATAATCTTTTCATATTCACGAATATTTTTACGTATATTACAAATAATGGGATAAGAAATGCACTGTAACAGTAAGAATCACTTTTATTTCCCAAGTACTTTCCATCTCTTTCTGAGATCAGAGATGCAACTGGTAAAAAAAAAAAACTATGTGTAGCTATCCATTACTGAATTTTTAGTTTTTCGTTTAAATTCTACGGCTGACATATTCCTGTATATGAAAGGATTATGATAAAAATAATCAGACATATATATATATATATATATATATATATATATATATTGTGTATTTGGACAGCAATTCCGCTTTTATACAACGAGTGACAAGGTATTAAGTATTATTAAGTTTTTTATAATGGGCATTAAACCGAGTCTATGTAGCAGTCACTTCAAAATGCTATTTTCTTTTAAAAAGGCACTGAAACTATCATTTTTTATTTAAATGTTCTTGTGTTTTTTTTCTTATCCCGATATAAAGTATGGGTCCGAATATTCAGTATGGTCGAGCGCTTTCGGCTATTCTCTTAGCAATTATCAAGGATGGTTTTTAATTTTATTTTTAACTGAATGCATGGATTTTTCATGCATGTACCTTGAACTATAAGTAAATTATACGAACACAACAAAAGTTAAATAAACAACTTATTCGCAGTACGTTGTCAGTGTTTTCTAATTAAAGTTACACACACACACATATATATATATATATGTGTGTGTGTGTGTGTGTGTGTGTGTGTGTGTGTGTGTGTGTGTGTGTGTGTAAGTGTAAGTTTAATTGTGTGTAAGTTTTGCAAAAAAAACAACATTGTATCTCCAATGGATTAAATAATATTTATGTTGGTCACACCACAAACTCGCTTTCACGACGCTTGACTCTACATTTGAATGATAACTCTAACATTTTTAGGCATTTAAAACAACATGCCTGATCGCATACACAATTCCGGAAAATCCTTGTTGAAAATACAACTATACTTAAACATGAAAACAATAAACAAAAACTAAAAATTCTTGAAGCTATATACATAAAACAGTTGAAACCTAACGTGAACAAAATAAATTACGAACTCTCCACAAATATTGTTAAATGCATATAATTGATAACCGAAGCCATTGGTTTATAACAACGGCTTCCCATACTTAATAGTTCTCGTTTTCACTCTCGCGTGGTTATGTGTGACGTCACGAGCTGCGACGCGATTTTCGCTTCTGCGTCTCGTATACACGAATTAGTTGCTTTGAAATTTTTCAAGTAACAAAGACAGACTATCATTATTGCTTCGTCCGTGTATTGGTTGATATATTGAAAAGTAATTTCATCTTTGATAATGGCTTATGTAAGCGTGTGTGTGCGCGCGCGTGTGTGTGTGTGCGTGTGTGTGCGTGTGTTTTGTATACTGTCACATTCTTCATGCCCGTGTTGTATAGGAGGACGCAGGTTTACTAATGTTCCTTTACAGCCTAGGCCAATAAACGTAGAAACATATGCTTCCATAAATGAAATTATGGCGTCTATTTCAAATACGAACTTCCGCCTGAAGTAATGAAAATTTCATATAAAAAATAAATCCATTAAGTCTTCATATATATATATATATATATATATATTATGGAGCTCATAATAAAATCATTTTGAAACCGTTACACAAAAAGCTTTCTATGTTTCAATACTCTGATTGTATTTCTTCAGGCGATGGTAAGTAACTGGTGATTAAATGATTTTTAAGTGAATTTAAAAACAAAGTGTCACCTCTTTTCTGAACGTTCAAGAGGAGGGTGACATAAGGTCAGAATTACAATTTTAATGATTATCTTTGAAAAAATCACTTGACATTGCAGACAATAGTCAGCTTTACAAAAAGGAATATTTCATTCATTAATATTCTCGTTACAATTTATAATAATTCTCAATACGTATCTTGATCCAATCAGCTAATTTAAAAAGATCTATAAATCGAATCATAGGATCACTAGTTAGTCTTCAATTTGTCAGTGCCCCAGATGTAGCAGCGCAATGGTCTCAAATGTTTGCTATAATCAGGGAAGCTCGTACTTCCTGGGTCGAATGGTCTGTATGAGAAGGAACGGTTTCCTGTTGAAAGACGTATAATACAATTAATACGAGGCTTAAACACAGTGCCAATACAACAATGTAGGCGATGACGATTAAGTCCTACAGGAAAAGGTAGGATGGGATGAAATATCTCCCGCAGTTCATTGATTAATTGATTGTCTTTTTTAACGGATTATCAACATTTTTAAAGCCAGATCATATTTTTAAATTTTAAGAAATTTTGGGAGTTAATAATGATTTACTGATGCAGCTTTTATTAATTAAACCATAGCTGGAGTGAAGAGGCGTATTTTATGTTTCCCAAAGGTATTTGCGCGTAAATGGATATAACTAAGCCGACTTGAACTCGGCTCCCCGATTTTCCAGTTCTGTGTCGTTATCTATTACATCACCTGCAATTATAGCACCCGGTATTTCAAAGCGGACACCTATCTAGGTACTGGCTTTTGTTAACTTCGTAATCGTACAAGAACCGCTGTTTCAACGTGATATGGCCGTAAGCGTCCGGATATTTAGCTCAATTACTGATAAGGTAAACGGGATGAGAAACTACCTGAGCATTTCCGCAGAATCCGTTCATTTGGCCACTTTCAAGAATCTCTCTCTCTCAACAACCATTTTTACCAGTGCTCATATTGCAATTTTTACTGTTATAATTCCATACTTTTACCAGAGCTCATATTGCAATTTTCGTTGTTATCGCTTTTCTCTAGCATTCCTTATTACTGGTTCCCATATTGTATTCATTTCTACGCTTGGTCGGCTCAGGAGATTTTTGTGGACTAGCATATGTGCTGATTTCTTTACGAATTTTCCATTGATGTTCTTTGTCTATGATCTCAACCTGATCCCACAGATGGCTGGGGATCTCTCTTTTCTCTCCATACGTTGTCAGCAACGCCTGATTTCAGATTTTTGGTGTTCTTGAAGCCTTACCTTAAGTGGGTGGCCTGTCTTCCCTTTATATTTATTTCCGCAGCTGAACAGGATGGCGTACACACAGTCTTTAGACATGTTCTCCTCAGTGAGGGGGTCTTACTCGGAAGCTTTTGAAGGTTGTCCTGATGTTATATGGACCGCCGATCCTTTGTATTTTCTCCGATAACCCATTCATATAAGGCAGGCAGACTGTTTTCTGAGTGTTGTTGTCCTTCTCTGCCGGCCTATCCGAATTTATTGGAGCTGCTGCCATGTACCCAGGATAGTCATTACGTTGTAGGGTACTGCTTATACTAATCAATTCTTTATCTAATGCTTCTGGGTCGCCACTTATAACTTTTGCTCGATGTTGTAAGCAGCGGATGATCCCTTTCTTTACGCTGTATAGATGGTGGGATTGAAA